TTACTGACCGCCGTCATTTAGCTGGAATATTGCTGAGTGCGGCGTTAAACACAAACAAACAAACAGTCACCAGTGGCGTTGAACTACCAACAAAAATACATAAAAATAAAATTAATAATGGGTAATAGTTATTATACAAAGACATCCATACAGACACGATCGTTTTACTCTAAAATGACGAGAAACAATACTTGATCAATATATTGGCTCACGTGACGATGTAGTATTTATAAGCAAACCGCAGTGTTCAGACCGGAATGTGTATCTGTCCATGTTGAAGCAACGGGTGCCTCAGAAGATGTTTCTACCATTCCTAGTGCCTCTGTTCCTTGCAAGTGTTTCCTGCATCCAAACATTGAACCATCCTATTGGTCTCAACTTGTGCAAAGTCAAGTGCATGGAAAGTGGCTCCTGTCAGGCTGTTGCATACGACATTAAAACTCTGACATGCCGACAGCTGACTAGTTCCTTGGAACGACAGGAGACGGAGGGTTACATTGTGTTTCGAAAAGGAAAAGATCAGATGGTATGTTATATTTGTTTATTTTTATATTCCTGCAATGAGAAATGCTTACGGTGCTATATTTAATGTAAGGTTTCATATAATATCTAGTGACCCTTTAAGATCCGGGGAAGAATAGGTCTTCAGCAACCCATGCTTGCCATTTTTACAGACAGCCGTCATATAGTTGGAATATTGCTGAGTGCGGTGTTAAACAACAAACAAAAAAATTACAATATCGCGTAAAAGTTTTTTCAGGATAAGTATATTCCTTTGCAGGTTGGTAAATAATGCTGCAAAAACATTTGAACTGTGTAATTATGACTGAAATAAAACATTGCACTTATACTATTTGACTTTTGCATAGCCTTCAGCAGGTGCTTGCTCAATGAAGACCTGCGTTTCCACCGACCGATGTCTCGAAAATCGTCGGGGTCGTGCGGTCTGTGTCCATGGTAATACATGTTGGAATATAACGAATTAATTAAGGGGTATAAATGGAAATCATTGTGAATGACAATGATTACATTGATAATGATAACTTGACATTGTCAACAAGACATTTATAAATCCGATGGGAAATCATCATTAGTATTTAGATATTTGGGCTGGAAATTACATTTTTCAACTTGCGATTTATGTGTAGCATTTCATAATGTATTTTAATTTGTATTAAGATAAGATGACATAAACTAAACATTTAGGCTTTCTGTACATTTTTCATTGGCATGGCATCCGTGCTTTTACTTTCTGGAAGTGATCCGTGGAATATGAAATTTATACATCTGTACATGTTCACAATGTCCTGGCTCAAATTGAAAATATCGACTTCGTCTTCCAAGCATATTGTTCAATAATTGCCATCATACACAGATTACGATAACCCCGGCGCGGCATCCAAGGCAGCTACTGTCTCTCCAGGTAAGACAAAACCTCCATCTGTGTTACATTCTACAGTTTGATAACTTAGGAGCTCGATAAGAAATTAGTTTAATGGATAGTACTATCGGCGCTATAAACCAATCCTCAACTTGGTATCAGGATCCAGTATATGTGCAACAAGCTTCATACAACGATGCAATGCCTTTTTTCTCAATACACTAAATGCTTAGATAGGGGTTGTTGTAGACAAACATGGCTACAAATCCTTCAGCGGTATTAGATAAATTCGAATATTGTGTTCATACTCGGTTACTTAATGTTTTTTTCATTTAGTGAAATTACATCTTTAACGTCTTCAATTTTGCTAATGATGTCAATCACTGGATTGTCTGGTCCAGACTCGATTATTTGCAGACCGCCGTCATATAGCTGGAATATTACCGAGTGCGGCGTTTAACAACAAACAAAACCAACCAACTTCATTATTTTAAGAATTACATTCCATGATTAAGAGAGAATTCCTCCCATGTGTTTCCGTTTTGTAAATACATTTTTTTGTTTCTAGTATACTAGTATACAGTATGATATTTACGTAACGGAAACACACTCGGCTAATAATGTCTTGTCTCTTTGTTCTGAAGTTAGATATGTATCATGTGAAGTCTTTGAAGCACATGTAGAAGTACACAAGGAAGAGAATTTATGGATATCATCTTCTTTATTAACAAAATTTTTCGGAGTATACACTCACTCCACCATTAGCCTGAGCACCTCTTGCCTGTTACATAACAGAAGAGAACAACACTATTTCTCGCAGGCCGGGTGCATCGGCATATGAGGTACAACAGTATTTTACATTGCGGTGGACAGAGATTAACCGGGAGTTTTACAATTTTCATTATAATTTTAATGAATTTACATAGTTTCTTTTGGACAGATTTCTTATGGCAGTTAAATAACTGCTGGAGTTGTAACATATTCGGTCTTTTTGAATAGTGTCTTGTGATGTTCATGTCCCTTTGTTCATTTAAATATTTACATTTGAAGATATACTAGCACTCATCTCCAATGTCAAAAAGAGACCTGTGAATATCCGGGGTAGAATAGGTCTTCAGCAACCCATGCTTTCTGTAAAAGGCGACTATGCTGTCTGGCTCCTACTTTCTGGCTCCTGCTGTGTGACTCCTGCTTTCTGGCTCCTGCTGTCTGGCTCCTGCTTTCTGGCTCCTGATGTGTGGCTATTCTGTGTGGCTGCTCCTCTCTGTCTCCTGCTGTCTGTCTCCTGCTGTCTGGCCCAAGCCTTCTGGCTCCTGCTTTCTGGCTCCTGCTGTCTGGCTCCTGCTGTGTGGCTCCTGCTTTCTGGCTCCTGCTGTCTGTCTCCTGCTGTTTGGCTCCTGCTGTCTAGCACCTGCAGTCTGGCTCTTCTATCTGCCTCCTCTTTGGCTCGTACTTTCTGGCTCCTGCTGTCTGGCTCCTGCTATCTGACCCTGCTTTCTTGCTCCTTCTGTCTGGCTCCACTTTCTGGCTCCTGCTGTGTGGCTCCTACTTTCTGGCTCCTGCTGTGTGGCTCCTGCTTTCTGGCTCCTGCTGTCTGGCTCCTGCTGTGTGGCTAATCTCTCCGCCTGCTCCTCTCTGTCTCCTGCTGTCTGGCTCCTGCTTTCTGGCCCCTGCCTTCTGGCTCCTGCGTTCTGGCTACTGCTGTCTGGCTCCCGCTGTCTGGCTCATGCTCTCTGGCTCATGCTTTCTGGCCTCTGCTTTCTAGCTCCTGCTGTCTGGCTCTGCTTTCTGGCTCCTGCTGTCTGCCTCCTACTTTCTGGCTCCTGCTGTGTGGCTCCTGCTTTCTGGCTCCTGCTGTCTGGCTCCTGCTTTCTGGCTCCTGCTGTGTGGCTATTCTGTCTGGCTGCTCCTACCTGTCCCCTGCTGTCTGTCTCCTGCTGTCTGGCTCCTGCTTTCTGGCTCCTGCTGTCTGGCTCCTGCTTTCTGTCTCCTGCTTTCATGCTCCTGCTGTCTGGCTCGTGTTTTCTGGCTCCCGCTGTCTGTCTCCTGCTCTCTGGCTCCTGAATTCTGGCCCCTGCTTTCTAGCTCCTGCTGTCTGACCCCTGCTTTCTAGCCCCTGCTGTCTGGCTCCTGCTTTCTGGCTCCTGCTGTCCGGTTCTGCTGTCTGGCTGGCTCCTGCTGTCCTGCTCGTGTTTTCTGGCTTCTTCTGTCTGGCTCCTACTTTGTGGCTCGTGTTTTCTGGCTTCTGCTGTCTGCATCCTATCGTCTGGCTCCTGATGTCTGGCTCCTGCAGTCTGCCTCCTCTTTGGCTCCTGCTTTCTTGCTCCTTCTGTCTGGCTCTGCTTTCTGGTACCTACTTTCTGGCTCCTACTTTCTGGGTCCTGCTTTCTGGCTCCTGCTGTCTGGCTCCTGCTGTGTGGCTCCTGCTTTCTGGCTCCTGCTGTCTGTCTCCTGCTGTTTGGCTCCTGCTGTCTGGCACCTGCAGTCTGGCTCTTCTATCTGCCTCCTCTTTGGCTCGTACTTTCTGGCTCCTGCTGTCTGGCTCCTGCTATCTGACCCTGCTTTCTTGCTCCTTCTGTCTGGCTCCACTTTCTGGCTCCTGCTGTGTGGCTCCTACTTTCTGGCTCCTGCTGTGTGGCTCCTGCTTTCTGGCTCCTGCTGTCTGGCTCCTGCTGTGTGGCTAATCTCTCCGCTTGCTCCTCTCTGTCTCCTGCTGTCTGGCTCCTGCTTTCTGGCCCCTGCCTTCTGGCTCCTGCGTTCTGGCTACTGCTGTCTGGCTCCCGCTGTCTGGCTCATGCTCTCTGGCTCATGCTTTCTGGCCTCTGCTTTCTAGCTCCTGCTGTCTGGCTCTGCTTTCTGGCTCCTGCTGTCTGCCTCCTACTTTCTGGCTCCTGCTGTGTGGCTCCTGCTTTCTGGCTCCTGCTGTCTGGCTCCTGCTTTCTGGCTCCTGCTGTGTGGCTATTCTGTCTGGCTGCTCCTACCTGTCCCCTGCTGTCTGTCTCCTGCTGTCTGGCTCCTGCTTTCTGGCTCCTGCTGTCTGGCTCCTGCTTTCTGTCTCCTGCTTTCATGCTCCTGCTGTCTGGCTCGTGTTTTCTGGCTCCCGCTGTCTGTCTCCTGCTCTCTGGCTCCTGAATTCTGGCCCCTGCTTTCTAGCTCCTGCTGTCTGACCCCTGCTTTCTAGCCCCTGCTGTCTGGCTCCTGCTTTCTGGCTCCTGCTGTCCGGTTCTGCTGTCTGGCTGGCTCCTGCTGTCCTGCTCGTGTTTTCTGGCTTCTTCTGTCTGGCTCCTACTTTGTGGCTCGTGTTTTCTGGCTTCTGCTGTCTGCATCCTATCGTCTGGCTCCTGATGTCTGGCTCCTGCAGTCTGCCTCCTCTTTGGCTCCTGCTTTCTTGCTCCTTCTGTCTGGCTCTGCTTTCTGGTACCTACTTTCTGGCTCCTACTTTCTGGGTCCTGCTGTGAGGCTCCTGCTTTCTGGCTCCTGCTGTCTGGCTCCTGCTTTCTGGCTCCTCCTGTGAGGCTATTCTGTCTGGCTGCTCCTCTCTGTCTCCTGCTGTGTGGCTCCTGCTGTCTGGCCCCTGCCTTCTGGCTCCTGCTTTCTGGCTCCTGCTGTCTGGCTCCCGCTATCTGGCTCCTGTTTTCTGGCTCCTTCTGTCTGGTTCTGCTGACTGCATCCTATTGTCTGGCTCCTGTTGTCTGGCTCCTGCTGTCTGGCTCTGTTGTCTGGCTACTACGTTATGACTCCTAACGTCTGGCTCCTGCTTTCTGGCCCCTGCTGTATGGCTCCTGATGTCTGCGTCCTTTTTTTCTGGCTCCTGCTGTCTGGCTCCTGTTTTGTCGTTCCTGCTGTCTGGCGTCTGCTGTCTAGCTCCTGCTGTATGGCTCCTGATGTCTGGCTCCTGTTTTCTGGCTCCTGATTTCTGGCCCCTGCTTTCTGGCTCTGTTGTCTGGTTCTGCTGACTGCATCCTATTGTCTGGCTCCTGCTGTCTAGCTCCTGCTGTCTGACTCTAGCTGTATGGCTCCTGCTGTCTGGTTCTGCTGTGTGGCTGGCTTCTGCTGTCTCGCTCGTGTTTTCTGGCTCCTGCTCTATGGCTCATGCTTTCTGGCCCCTGCTTTCTAGCTCCTGCTGTCTGGCTCCTGTTTTCATGATCCTGCTAGCTGGCTCTTGTCTAGCTCCCGCTGTTTGGCTCCTTTTTTCTGGCTCCTGTTGTCTGGTTCCTGCTGTCTGGCCCATTCTGTGTGGCTGGCTCCTGCTTTCTGGCTCCTGCTGCCTGGCTCCTGCTTGTTGGCTCCTGCTGTGTGGCTATTCTGTCTGGCTGCTCCTCTCTGTCTTCTGCTGTCTGGCTCCTGCTGTCTGGCCCCTGCCTTCTGGCTCCTGCTTTCTGGCTCCTGCTGTCTGGCTCCTGCTGTCTGGCTCCTGTTTTCTGGCTCCTTCTGTCTGGTTTCCGCTGACTGCATCCTATTGTCTGGCTCCTGCTGTCTAGCTCCTGCTGTCTGACTCTAGCTGTATGGCTCCTGCTGTCTGGTTCTGCTGTGTGGCTGGCTTCTGCTGTCTCGCTCGTGTTTTCTGGCCCCTGCCTTCTGGCTCCTGCGTTCTGGCTACAGCTGTCTGGCTCCCGCTGTCTGGCTCATGCTCTCTGGCTCATGCTTTCTGGCCTCTGCTTTCTAGCTCCTGCTGTCTGGCTCTGCTTTCTGGCTCCCGCTGTCTGCCTCCTACTTTCTGGCTCCTGCTGTGTGGCTCCTGCTTTCTGGCTCCTGCTGTATGGCTCCTGCTTTCTGGCTCCTGCTGTGTGGCTATTCTGTCTGGCTGCTCCTACCTGTCCCCTGCTGTCTGTCTCCTGCTGTCTGGCTCCTGCTTTCTGGCTCCTGCTGTCTGGCTCCTGCTTTCTGTCTCCTGCTTTCATGCTCCTGTTGTCTGGCTCGTGTTTTCTGGCTCCCGCTGTCTGTCTCCTGCTGTCTGGCTCCTGAATTCTGGCCCCTGCTTTCTAGCTCCTGCTGTCTGACCCCTGCTTTCTAGCCCCTGCTGTCTGGCTCCTGCTTTCTGGCTCCTGCTGTCCGGTTCTGCTGTCTGGCTGGCTCCTGCTGTCCTGCTCGTGTTTTCTGGCTTCTTCTGTCTGGCTCCTACTTTGTGGCTCGTGTTTTCTGGCTTCTGCTGTCTGCATCCTATCGTCTGGCTCCTGATGTCTGGCTCCTGCAGTCTGCCTCCTCTTTGGCTCCTGCTTTCTTGCTCCTTCTGTCTGGCTCTGCTTTCTGGTACCTACTTTCTGGCTCCTACTTTCTGGGTCCTGCTGTGAGGCTCCTGCTTTCTGGCTCCTGCTGTCTGGCTCCTGCTTTCTGGCTCCTCCTGTGAGGCTATTCTGTCTGGCTGCTCCTCTCTGTCTCCTGCTGTGTGGCTCCTGCTGTCTGGCCCCTGCCTTCTGGCTCCTGCTTTCTGGCTCCTGCTGTCTGGCTCCCGCTATCTGGCTCCTGTTTTCTGGCTCCTTCTGTCTGGTTCTGCTGACTGCATCCTATTGTCTGGCTCCTGTTGTCTGGCTCCTGCTGTCTGGCTCTGTTGTCTGGCTACTACGTTATGACTCCTAACGTCTGGCTCCTGCTTTCTGGCCCCTGCTGTATGGCTCCTGATGTCTGCGTCCTTTTTTTCTGGCTCCTGCTGTCTGGCTCCTGTTTTGTCGTTCCTGCTGTCTGGCGTCTGCTGTCTAGCTCCTGCTGTATGGCTCCTGATGTCTGGCTCCTGTTTTGTCGTTCCTGCTGTCTGGCGTCTGCTGTCTAGCTCCTGCTGTATGGCTCCTGATGTCTGGCTCCTGTTTTCTGGCTCCTGCTTTCTGGCCCCTGCTTTCTGGCTCTGTTGTCTGGTTCTGCTGACTGCATCCTATTGTCTGGCTCCTGCTGTCTAGCTCCTGCTGTCTGACTCTAGCTGTATGGCTCCTGCTGTCTGGTTCTGCTGTGTGGCTGGCTTCTGCTGTCTCGCTCGTGTTTTCTGGCTCCTGCTCTATGGCTCATGCTTTCTGGCCCCTGCTTTCTAGCTCCTGCTGTCTGGCTCCTGTTTTCATGATCCTGCTAGCTGGCTCTTGTCTAGCTCCCGCTGTTTGGCTCCTTTTTTCTGGCTCCTGTTGTCTGGTTCCTGCTGTCTGGCCCATTCTGTGTGGCTGGCTCCTGCTTTCTGGCTCCTGCTGCCTGGCTCCTGCTTGTTGGCTCCTGCTGTGTGGCTATTCTGTCTGGCTGCTCCTCTCTGTCTTCTGCTGTCTGGCTCCTGCTGTCTGGCCCCTGCCTTCTGGCTCCTGCTTTCTGGCTCCTGCTGTCTGGCTCCTGCTGTCTGGCTCCTGTTTTCTGGCTCCTTCTGTCTGGTTTCCGCTGACTGCATCCTATTGTCTGGCTCCTGCTGTCTAGCTCCTGCTGTCTGACTCTAGCTGTATGGCTCCTGCTGTCTGGTTCTGCTGTGTGGCTGGCTTCTGCTGTCTCGCTCGTGTTTTCTGGCCCCTGCCTTCTGGCTCCTGCGTTCTGGCTACAGCTGTCTGGCTCCCGCTGTCTGGCTCATGCTCTCTGGCTCCTGCTGTATGGCCTCTGCTTTCTAGCTCCTGCTGTCTGGCTCTGCTTTCTGGCTCCCGCTGTCTGCCTCCTACTTTCTGGCTCCTGCTGTGTGGCTCCTGCTTTCTGGCTCCTGCTGTATGGCTCCTGCTTTCTGGCTCCTGCTGTGTGTCTATTCTGTCTGGCTGCTCCTACCTGTCCCCTGCTGTCTGTCTCCTGCTGTCTGGCTCCTGCTTTCTAGACCCTGCTGTCTGGCTCCTGCTTTCTGGCTCCTGCTGTCCGGTTCTCCTGTCCGGTTCTCCTGTCCTCCTGTCTGTCCTGCTCGTGTTTTCTGGCTTCTTCTGTCTGGCTCCTACTTTGTGGCTCGTGTTTTCTGGCTTCTGCTGTCTGCATCCTACCGTCTGGCTCCTGATGTCTGGCTCCTGCAGTCTGGCTCCTCTTTGGCTCCTCCTTTCTTGCTCCTGCTGTCTGGCTCCTGCTATCTGACCTTGCTTTCTTGCTCCTTCTGTCTGGCTCTGCTTTCTGGTACCTACTTTCTGGCTCCTACTTTCTGGCTCCTGCTGTGAGGCTCCTGCTTTCTGGCTCCTGCTGTCTGGCTCCTGCTTTCTGGCTCCCCCTGTGTGGCTCCTCTCTGTCTCCTCTCTGTCTCTGTGTGGCTCCTGCTGTCTGGCTCCCGCTATCTGGCTCCTGTTTTCTGGCTCCTTCTGTCTGGTTCTGCTGACTGCATCCTATTGTCTGGCTCCTGTTGTCTGGCTCGTGCTGTCTGGCTCTGTTGTCTGGCTACTACGTTATGACTCCTAACGTCTGGCTCCTGCTTTCTGGCTCCTGCTGTATGGCTCCTGATGTCTGCGTCCTTTTTTTCTGGCTCCTGCTGTCTGGCTCCTGTTTTGTCGTTCCTGCTGTCTGGCTTCTGCTGTCTAGTTTCTGCTGTATGGCTCCTGATGTCTGGCTCCTGTTTTCTGGCTCCTGATTTCTGGCCCCTGCTTTCTGGCTCTGTTGTCTGGTTCTGCTGACTGTATCCTATTGTCTGGCTCCTGCTGTCTAGCTCCTGCTGTCTGACTCTAGCTGTATGGCTCCTGCTGTCTGGTTCTGCTGTGTGGCTGGCTTCTGCTGTCTCGCTCGTGTTTTCTGGCTCCTGCTCTATGGCTCATGCTTTCTGGCCCCTGCTTTCTAGCTCCTGCTGTCTGGCTCCTGTTTTCATGATCCTACTAGCTGGCTGTTGTCTAGCTCCCGCTGTTTGGCTCCTGCTTTCTGGCTCCTGTTGTCTGGTTCCTGCTGTCTGGCCCATTCTGTGTGGCTGGCTCCTGCTTTCTGGCTCCTGCTGTCTGGCTCCTGCTTTCTGGCTCCTGCTGTGTGGCTATTCTGTCTGGCTGCTCCTCTCTGTCTTCTGCTGTCTGGCTCCTGCTGTCTGGCCCCTGCCTTCTGGCTCCTGCTTTCTGGCTCCTGCTGTCTGGCTCCCGCTGTCTTGCTCCTGTTTTCTGGCTCCTTCTGTCTGGTTTCCGCTGACTGCATCCTATTGTCTGGCTCCTGCTGTCTAGCTCCTGCTGTCTGACTCTAGCTGTATGGCTCCTGCTGTCTGGTTCTGCTGTGTGGCTGGCTTCTGCTGTCTCGCTCGTGTTATCTGGCTCCTGCTCTATGGCTCATGCTTTCTGGCCCCTGCTTTCTAGCTCCTGCTGTTTGGCTCCTGTTTTCTTGATCCTGCTACCTGGCTCTTGTCTAGCTCCCGCTGTTTGGCTCCTTTTTTCTGGCTCCTCTTGTCTGGTTCCTGCTGTCTGGCCCATTCTGTGTGGCTGGCTCCTGCTGTCTGGCTCCTGTTTTCTTGCTCCTTCTGTCTGGTTCTGCTGTCTGGCTCCTGCTGTCTGGCTCCTGCTCTCTGGCTCCTGCTGTATGGCTCCTGATGTCTGCGTCCTTTTTTCTGGCTTCTGCTGTCTGGCTCCTGTTTTGTCGTTCCTGCTGTCTGGCTTCTGCTGTCTAGCTCCTGCTGTATGGCTCCTGATGTCTGGCTCCTGTTTTCTGGCTCCTGTTGTCTGGCTCCTGCTGTATGGCTCCTGCTGTGTGGCTATTCTGTCTGGCTGCTCCTACCTGTCCCCTGCTGTCTGTCTCCTGCTGTCTGGCTCCTGCTTTCTGGCTCCTGCTGTCTGGCTCCTGCTTTCATGCTCCTGCTGTCTGGCTCGTGTTTTCTGGCTCCCGCTGTCTGTCTCCTGCTCTCTGGCTCCTGAATTCTGGCCCCTGCTTTCTAGCTCCTGCTGTCTGGCCCCTGCTTTCTAGCTCCTGCTGTCTGGCTCCTGCTTTCTGGCTCCTGCTGTCCGGTTCTGCTGTCCGGTTCTGCTGTCTGGCTGGCTCCTGCTGTCCTGCTCGTGTTTTCTGGCTTCTTCTGTCTGGCTCCTACTTTGTGGCTCGTGTTTTCTGGCTTCTGCTGTCAGCATCCTACCGTCTGGCTCCTGCAGTCTGGCTCCTCTTTGGCTCCTCCTTTCTGGCTCCTGCTGTCTGGCTCCTGCTATCTGACCCTGCTTTCTTGCTCCTTCTGTCTGGCTCTGCTTTCTGGTACCTACTTTCTGGCTCCTACTATCTTCCTCCTAATTTCTTGGTCCTGCTGTGAGGCTCCTGCTTTCTGGTTTCTGCTGTCTGGCTCCTGCTTTCTGGCTCCTCCTGTGTGGCTATTCTCTCTGGCTGCTCCTCTCTGTCTCCTGCTGTGTGGCTCCTGCTGTCTGGCCCCTGCCTTCTGGCTCCTGCTTTCTGGCTCGTGCTGTCTGGCTCCCACTGTCTGGCTCCTGTTTTCTGGCTCCTTCTGACTGGTTCTGCTAACTGCATCCTATTGTCTGGCTCCTGCTGTCTGGCTTCTGCTGTCTAGCTCCTGCTGTATAGCTCCTGCTGTCTGGCTCCTTTTTTCTGGCTCCTGTTGTCTGGCTCCTGCTGTCTGGCTCTGTTGTCTGGCTACTACGTTATGACTCCTAATGTCTGGCTCCTGATTTCTGGCCCCTGCTTTCTAGCTCCTCCTGTCTGGCTCCTGATTTCTGGCCCCTGCTTTCTAGCTCCTGCTGTCTGGCTCCTGCTTTCTGGCTCCTGCTGTCTGGTTCTGTTGTCTTGCTTTTGCTGTCTAGCTCCTGCTGTCTGGTTGTGCTGTCTCGCTGGCTCCTGCTGTCTGGCTCCTGTCTAGCCCCCGCTGTCTGGCTCCTGTTTTCTGGCCCCTGTTGTCTGGTTCCTGTTGTCTGGCTCCTATTGTCTGGCTCCTGCTGTCTGGCACCCGTAGTCTGGCTCTGCTATCTAGCTCCTGTTTGGCTCGTACTCTCTGGCTCCTGAATTCTGGCCCCTGCTTTCTAGCTCCTGCTGTCTTGCCCCTGCTTTCTAGCTCCTGCTGTCTGGCTCTTGCTTTCTGGCTCCTGCTGTCTGGTTCTGCTGTCTGGCCTGCTCCTGCTGTCTGGCGTCTTCTGTCTGGCTCCTACTTTGTGGCTCGTGTTTTCTGGCTTCTGCTGTCTTCAGCCTACCGTCTGGCTCCTGATGTCTGGCTCCTGCAGACATGCTCCTGTTTGGCTCCTCCTTTCTGGCTCCTGCTGTCTGCCTCCTGCTATCTGACCCTGCTTTCTTGCTCCTTCTGTCTGGCTGTGCTTTCTAGTTCCTACTTTCTGGCTCCTACTTTCTGGCTCCTGCTGTGAGGCTCCTGCTTTCTGGCTCCTGCTGTCTGGCTCCTGCTTTCTGGCTCCTGCTGTGTGGCTATTCTGTCTGGCTGCTCCTACCTGTCCCCTGCTGTCTGTCTCCTGCTGTCTGGCCCCTGCCTTCTGGCTCCTGCTTTCTGGCTCCTGCTGTCTGGCTCCCGCTGTCTGGCTCCTGTTTTCTGGCTCCTTCTGTCTGGTTCTGCTGACTGCATCCTATTGTGTGGCTCCTGCTGTCTAGCTCCTGCTGTCTGACTCTAGCTGTATGGCTCCTGCTGTCTGGTTCTGCTGTGTGGCTGGCTTCTGCTGTCTCGCTCGTGTTTTCTGGCTCCTGCTCTATGGCTCATGCTTTCTGGCCCCAGCTTTCTAGCTCCTGCTGTTTGGCTCCTGTTTTCTGGATCCTGCTAGCTGGCTGTTGTCTAGCTCCCGCTGTTTGGCTCCTGCTTTCTGGCTCCTGTTGTCTGGTTCCTGCTGTCTGGCCCATTCTGTGTGGCTGGCTCCTGCTGTCTGGCTCCTGTTTTCTGGCTCCTTCTGTCTGGTTCTGCTGTCTGGCTCCTGCTGTCTGGCTCCTGCTCTGTGGTTCCTGCTGTATGTATCCTGATGTCTGCCTCCTTTTTTTCTGTGTGGCTGGCTCCTGCTGTCTGGCTCCTGTTTTGTCATTCCTGCTGTCTGGCTCCTGATGTCTGGCTCCTGTTTTCTGGCTCCTGTTGTCTAGCTCCTGCTGTCTGGCTCTGTTGACTGGCTACTACGTTATGACTTCTAATGTCTGGCTCCTGATTTCTGGCCCCTGCTTTCTAGCTCCTGCTGTCTGGCTCCTGCTTTCTGGCTCCTGCTGTCTGGTTCTGTTGTCTGGCTTTTCCTGTCTAGCTCCTGCTGTCTGGTTCTGCTGTCTGGCTGGCTCCTGTTGTCTGGCTCCTGTCTAGCTCCCGCTGTCTGGCTCCTGGTTTCTCGCCCCTGTTGTCTGGTTCCTGTTGTCTGGCTCCTGTTTTCTGGCTCCTGCTGTCTGCCTCCTGTTTGGCTCCTGCTGTTTGACTCCTGCTGTCTAGCACTTGCTGTCTAGCACTTGCAGTCTGGCTCTGCTATCTGGCTCCTGTTTGGCTCGTACGTTCTGGCTCCTGCTGTCTGGCTCCTGCTATCTGACCCTGCTTTCTTGCTCCTTCTGTCTGGCTCTGCTTTCTGGCTCCTGCTGTGTGGCTCCTACTTTCTGGCTCCTGTTGTGTGGCTCCTGCTTTCTGGCTCCTGCTGTCTGGCTCCTGCTGTGTGGCTATTCTCTCTGGCTGCTCCTCTCTGTCTCCTGCTGTCTGGCTCCTGCTGTCTGGCCCCTGCCTTCTTGCTCCTGCTTTCTGGCTCCTGCTCTCTGGCTCCCGCTGTCTGGCTCATGCTCTCTGGCTCATGCTTTCTGGCCTCTGCTTTCTAGCTCCTGCTGTCTGGCTCTGCTTTCTGGCTCCTGCTGTCTGCCTCCTACTTTCTGGCTTCTGCTGTGTGGCTATTCTGTCTGGCTGCTCCTTCCTGTCCCCTGCTGTCTGGCTCCTGATGTCTGGCTCCTGATTGCTGGCCCCTGCTTTCTAGCTCCTGCTGTCTGGCTCCTGCTTTCTGGCTACTGCTGTCTGGTTCTGTTGTCTGGCTTTTGCTGTCTAGCTCCTGCTGTCTGGTTCTGCTGTCTGGCTGGCTCCTGTTGTCTGGCTCCTGTCTAGCTCCCGCTGTCTGGCTCCTGGTTTCTCGCCCCTGTTGTCTGGTTCCTGTTGTCTGGCTCCTGTTTTCTGGCTCCTGCTGTCTGGCTCCTGTTTTATAGTTCCTGCTGTCTAGCACCTGCAGTCTGGCTCTGCTATCTGGCTCCTGTTTGGCTCGAACGTTCTGGCTCCTGCTGTCTGGCTCCGCTAACTGACCCTGCTTTCTTGCTCCTTCTGTCTGGCTCTCCTTTCTGGCTCCTGTTGTGTGGCTCCTACTTTCTGGCTCCTGCTTTCTGGCTCCTGCTTTCTGGCTCCGGCTGTCTGGCTCCTGCTGTGTGGCTATTCTCTCTGGCTGCTCCTCTCTGTCTCCTGCTGTCTGGCTCCTGATGTCTGGCCCCTGCCTTCTTGCTCCTGCTTTCTGGCCCCTGCCTTCTTGCTCCTGCTTTCTGGCTAATGCTCTCTGGCTCATGCTTTCTGGCCTCTGCTTTCTAGCTCCTGCTGTCTGGCTCTGCTTTCTGGCTCCTGCTGTCTGCCTCCTACTTTCTGGCTTCTGCTGTGTGGCTATTCTGTCTGTCTGCTCCTTCCTGTCCCCTGCTGTCTGTCTCCTGCTCTCTGGCTCCTGCTTTCTGACTCCTGCTGTCTGGCTCCTGCTCTCTGGCTCCTGCTTTCATGCTCCTGCTGTCTGGCTCGTGTTTTCTGGCTCCCGCTCTCTGTCTTCTGCTCTCTGGCTCCTGAATTCTGGCCCCTGCTTTCTAGCTCCTGCTGTCTGGCCCCTGCTTTCTAGCTCCTGCTGTCTGACTCCTTCTTTCTGGCTCCTGCTGTCTGGTTCTGCTGTCTGGCTGGCTCCTGCTGTCTGGCTTCTTCTGTCTGGCTCCTACTTTGTGGCTCGTGTTTTCTGGCTTCTGCTGTCTTCATCCTACTGTCTGGCTCCTGATGTCTGGCTCCTGCAGACTTGCTCCTGTTTGGCTCCTCCTTTCTGGCTCCTGCTGTCTGCCTCCTGCTATCTGACCCTGCTTTCTTGCTCCTTCTGTCTGGCTGTGTTTTCTAGTTCCTACTTTCTGGCTCCTACTTTCTGGCTCCTGCTGTGAGGCTCCTGCTTTCTGGCTCCTGCTTTCTGGCTCCTGCTTTCTGGCTCCTGCTGTGTGGCTATTCTGTCTGGCTGCTCCTACCTGTCCCCTGCTGTCTGTCTCCTGCTGTCTGGCCCCTGCCTTCTGGCTCCTGCTTTCTGGCTCCTGCTGTCTGGCTCCCGCTGTCTGGCTCCTGTTTTCTGGCTCCTTCTGTCTGGTTCTGCTGACTGCATCCTATTGTCTGGCTCCTGCTGTCTAGCTCCTGCTGTCTGACTCGAGCTGTATGGCTCCTGCTGTCTGGTTCTGCTGTGTGGCTGGCTTCTGCTGTCTCGCTCGTGTTTTCTGGCTCCTGCTCTATGGCTCATGCTTTCTGGCCCCTGCTTTCTAGCTCCTGCTGTTTGGCTCCTGTTTTCTTGATCCTGCTAGCTGGCTGTTGTCTAGCTCCCGCTGTTTGGCTCCTTTTTTCTGGCTCCTGTTGTCTGGTTCCTGCTGTCTGGCCCATTCTGTGTGGCTGGCTCCTGCTGTCTGGCTCCTGTTTTCTGGCTCCTTCTGTCTGGTTCTGCTGTATGGCTCCTGCTGTCTGGCTCCTGCTCTGTGGCTCCTGCTGTATGTATCTTGATGTCTGCCTCCTTTTTTTCTGTGTGGCTGGCTCCTGCTGTCTGGCTCCTGTTTTGTCGTTCCTGCTGTCTGTCTCCTGATGTCTGGCTCCTGCTTTCTGACTCCTGCTGTCTGGCTCCTGCTGTGTGGCTATTCTCTCTGGCTGCTCCTCTCTGTCTCCTGCTGTCTGGCTCCTGCTGTCTGGCCCCTGCCTTCTTGCTCCTGCTTTCTGGCTCCTACTCTCTGGCTCCCGCTGTCTGGCTCATGCTCTCTGGCTCATGCTTTCTGGCCTCTGCTTTCTAGCTCCTGCTGTCTGGCTCTGCTTTCTGGCTCCTGCTGTCTGCCTCCTACTTTCTGGCTTCTGCTGTGTGGCTATTCTGTCTGGCTGCTCCTTCCTGTCCCCTGCTGTCTGCCTCCTGATGTCTGGCTCCTGATTGCTGGCCCCTGCTTTCTAGCTCCTGCTGTCTGGCTCCTGCTTTCTGGCTCCTGCTGTCTGGTTCTGTTGTCTGGCTTTTGCTGTCTAGCTCCTGCTGTCTGGTTCTGCTGTCTGGCTGGCTCCTGTTGTCTGGCTCCTGTCTAGCTCCCGCTGTCTGGCTCCTGGTTTCTCGCCCCTGTTGTCTGGTTCCTGTTGTCTGGCTCCTGTTTTCTGGCTCCTGCTGTCTGGCTCCTGTTTTATAGTTCCTGCTGTTTGGCTCCTGCTGTCTAGCACCTGCAGTCTGGCTCTGCTATCTGGCTCCTGTTTGGCTCGTACGTTCTGGCTCCTGCTGTCTGGCTCCTGCTATGTGACCCTGCTTTCTTGCTCCTTCTGTCTGGTTCTCCTTTCTGGCTCCTGTTGTGTGGCTCCTACTTTCTGGCTCCTGCTTTCTGGCTCCTGCCTTCTGGCTCCTGCTTTCTGGCTCCTGCTGTGTGGCTATTCTGTCTGGCTGCTCCTACTGTCCCCTGCTGTCTGTCTCCTGCTGTCTGGCCCCTGCCTTCTGGCTCCTGCTTTCTGGCTCCTGCTGTCTGGCTCCCGCTGTCTGGCTCCTGTTTTCTGGCTCCTTCTGTCTGGTTCTGCTGACTGCATCCTATTGTCTGGCTCCTGCTGTCTAGCTCCTGCTGTCTGACTCTAGCTGTATGGCTCCTGCTGTCTGGTTCTGCTGTGTGGCTGGCTTCTGCTGTCTCGCTCTTGTTTTCTGGCTCCTGCTCTATGGCTCATGCTTTCTGGCCCCTGCTTTCTAGCTCCTGCTGTTTGGCTCCTGTTTTCATGATCCTGCTAGCTGGCTGTTGTCTAGCTCCCGCTGTTTGGCTCCTGCTTTCTGGCTCCTGTTGTCTGGTTCCTGCTGTCTGGCCCATTCTGTGTGGCTGGCTCCTGCTGTCTGGCTCCTGTTTTCTGGCTCCTTCTGTCTGGTTCTGCTGTGTGGCTCCTGCTGTCTGGCTCCTGCTCTGTGGTTCCAGCTGTATGTATCCTGATGTCTGCCTCCTTTTTTTCTGTGTGGCTGGCTCCTGCTGTCTGGCTCCTGTTTTGTCGTTCCTGCTGTCTGGCTCCTGATGTCTGGCTCCTGTTTTCTGGCTCCTGTTGTCTAGCTCCTGCTGTCTGGCTCTGTTGACTGGCTACTACGTTATGACTTCTAATGTCTGGCTCCTGATTTCTGGCCCCTGCTTTCTAGCTCCTGCTGTCTGGCTCCTGCTTTCTGGCTCCTGCTGTCTGGTTCTGTTGTCTGGCTTTTGCTGTCTAGCTCCTGCTGTCTGGTTCTGCTGTCTGGCTGGCTCCTGTTGTCTGGCTCCTGTCTAGCTCCCGCTGTCTGGCTCCTAGTTTCTCGCCCCTGTTGTCTGGTTCCTGTTGTCTGGCTCCTGTTTTCTGGCTCCTGCTGTCTGGCTCCTGTTTGGCTCCTGCTGTTTGACTCCTGCTGTCTAGCACTTGCTGTCTAGCACTTGCAGTCTGGCTCTGCTATCTCGCTCCTGTTTGGCTCGTACGTTCTGGCTCCTGCTGTCTGGCTCCTGCTATCTGACCCTGCTTTCTTGCTCCTTCTGTCTGGCTCTGCTTTCTGGCTCCTGCTGTGTGGCTCCTACTTTCTGGCTCCTGCTGTGTGGCTCCTGCTTTCTGGCTCCTGCTGTCTGGCTCCTGCTGTGTGGCTATTCTCTCTGGCTGCTCCTCTCTGTCTCCTGCTGTCTGGCTCCTGCTGTCTGGCCCCTGCCTTCTTGCTCCTGCTTTCTGGCTCCTGCTCTCTGGCTCCCGCTGTCTGGCTCATGCTCTCTGGCTCATTCTTTCTGGCCTCTGCTTTCTAGCTCCTGCTGTCTGGCTCTGCTTTCTGGCTCCTGCTGTCTGCCTCCTACTTTCTGGCTTCTGCTGTGTGGCTATTCTGTCTGGCTGCTCCTTCCTGTCCCCTGCTGTCTGGCTCCTGATGTCTGGCTCCTGATTGCTGGCCCCTGCTTTCTAGCTCCTGCTGTCTGGCTCCTGCTTTCTGGCTCCTGCTGTCTGGCTGGCTCCTGTTGTCTGGCTCCTGTCTAGCTCCCGCTGTCTGGCTCCTGGTTTCTGGCCCCTGTTGTCTGGTTCCTGTTGTCTGGCTCCTGTTTTCTGGCTCCTGCTGTCTGGCTCCTGTTTTATAGTTCCTGCTGTTTGGCTCCTGCTGTCTAGCACCTGCAGTCTGGCTCTGCTATCTGGCTCCTGTTTGGCTCGTACGTTCTGGCTCCTGCTGTCTGGCTCCTGCTTACTGACCCTGCTTTCTTGCTCCTTCTGTCTGGCTCTCCTTTCTGGCTCCTGTTGTGTAGCTCCTACTTTCTGGCTCCTGCTTTCTGGCTCCTGCCTTCTGGCTCCTGCTGTCTGGCTGTGTGGCTATTCTCTCTGGCTTCTCCTCTCTGTCTCCTGCTGTCTGGCTCCTGATGTCTGGCCCCTGCCTTCTTGCTCCTGCTTTCTGGCTCCTGCTGTCTGGCTCCCGCTGTCTGGCTCCTGCTCTCTGGCTCATGCTTTCTGGCCTCTGCTTTCTAGCTCCTGCTGTCTGGCTCTGCTTTCTGGCTCCTGCTGTCTGCCTCCTACTTTCTGGCTTCTGCTGTGGTGCTATTCTGTCTGGCTGCTCCTTCCTGTCCCCTGCTGTCTGTCTCCTGCTGTCTGGCTCCTGCTTTCTGGCTCCTGCTGTCTGGCTCCTGCTGTCTGGCTCCTGCTCTCTGGCTCCTGCTTTCATGCTCCTGCTGTCTGGCTCGTGTTTTCTGGCTCCCGCTCTCTGTCTTCTGCTCTCTGGCTCCTGAATTCTCTCTGGCTGCTCCTCTCTGTCTCCTGCTGTCTGGCTCCTGATGTCTGGCCCCTGCCTTCTTGCTCCTGCTTTCTGGCTCCTGCTGTCTGGCTCCCGCTGTCTGGCTCCTGCTTTCTAGCTCCTGCTGTCTGGCCCCTGCTTTCTAGCTCCTGCTGTCTGGCTCCTGCTTTCTGGCTCCTGCTGTCTGGTTCTGCTGTCTGGTTCTGCTGTCTGGCCGGCTCCTGCTGTCTGGCTCGTGTTTCCTGGCTCCTTCTCTCTGGCTCCTACTTTGTGGCTCGTGTTTTCTGGCTTCTGCTGTCTGCATCCTACCGTCTGGCTCCTGCTGTCTGGCTCTGCTTTCCGGTTCCTACGTTCTGGCTCCTACTTTCTAGCTCCTGCTGTGAGGCTCCTGCTTTCTGGCTCCTGCTTTCTGCCTCCTACTTTCTGGCTTCTGCTGTGTGGCTATTCTGTCTGGCTGCTCCTTCCTGTCCCCTGCTGTCTGTCTGCTGCTGTCTGGCTCCTGCTTTCTGGCTCCTGCTGTCTGGCTCCTGCTGTCTTGCTCCTGCTCTCTGGCTCCTGCTTTCATGCTTCTGCTCTCTGGCTCCTGAATTCTGGCCCCTGCTTTCTAGCTCCTGCTGTCTGGCCCCTGCTTTCTAGCTCCTGCTGTCTGGCTCCTGCTTTCTGGCTCCTGCTTTCTGGCTCCTGCTGTCTGTCTCCTGCTTTCTGGCTCCTGCTGTGTGGCTCATGCTGTCTGTCTCCTGCTGTCTGGTCCCTGTCTTCTGGCTCCTGCTTTCTGGCTCCTGCTGTCTGGCTCCTGCTTTCTGGCTCCTGCTGTCTGGTCCCTGCCTTCTGGCTCCTGCTTTCTGGCTCCTGCTTTAATGCTCCTGCTGTCTGGCTCGTGTTTTCTGGGTACCGCTGTCTGTCTCCTGCTATCTGGCTCCTGAATTCTGGCCCCTGCTTTCTAGCTCCTGCTGTCTGGCCCCTGCTTTCTAGCTCCTGCTGTCTCGCTCCTGCTTTCTGGCTCCTGCTGTCTGGTTCTGCTGTCTGGCTGGCTCCTGCTGTCTGGCTCGTGTTTTCTGGCTTCTTCTGTCTGGCTCCTGCTTTGTGGCTCGTGTTTTCTGGCTTCTGCTGTCTGCATCCTACCGTCTCTCTCCTGATGTCTGGCTCCTGCAGTCTGGCTCCTGTTTGGCTCCTCCTTTCTGGCTCCTGCTGTCTGGCTCCTGCTATCTGACCCTGCTTTCTTGCCCCTTCTGTCTGGCTGTGCTTTCTGGTTCCTACTTTCTGGCTCCTACTTTCTGGCTCCTGCTGTGAGGCTCCTGCTTTCTGGCCCCTGCTGTCTGGCTCTTGCTGTCTGGTTCTGTTGTCTGGCTTTTGCTGTCTAGCTCCTGCTGTCTGGTTCTGCTGTCTGGCTGGCTCCTGTTGTCTGGCTCCTGTCTAGCTCCCGCTGTCTGGCTCCTGGTGTCTCGCCCCTGTTGTCTGGTTCCTGTTGTCTGGCTCCTGTTTTCTGGCTCCTGCTGTCTGGCTCCTGTTTTATAGTTCCTGCTGTTTGGCTCCTGCTGTCTAGCACCTGCAGTCTGGCTCTGCTATCTGGCTCCTGTTTGGCTCGTACGTTCTGGCTCCTGCTGTCTGGCTCCTGCTTACTGACCCTGCTTTCTTGCTCCTTCTGTCTGGCTCTCCTTTCTGGCTCCTGTTGTGTGGCTCCTACTTTCTGGCTCCTGCTTTCTGGCTCCTGCTTTCTGGCTCCTGCTGTCTGGCTCCTGCTGTGTGGTTATTCTCTCTGGCTGCTCCTCTCTGTCTCCTGCTGTCTGGCTCCTGATGTCTGGCCCCTGCCTTCTTGCTCCTGCTTTCTGGGTCCTGCTGTCTGGCTCCCGCTGTCTGGCTCCTGCTCTCTGGCTCATGCTTTCTGGCCTCTGCTTTCTAGCTCCTGCTGTCTGGCTCTGCTTTCTGGCTCCTGCTGTCTGCCTCCTACTTTCTGGCTTCTGCTGTGTGGCTATTCTGTCTGGCTGCTCCTTCCTGTCCCCTGCTGTCTGTCTCCTGCTGTCTGGCTCCTGCTTTCTGGCTCCTGCCGTCTGGCTCCTGCTGTCTGGCTCCCGCTCTCTGTCTTCTGCTCTCTGGCTCCTGAATTCTGACCCCTGCTTTCTAGCTCCTGCTGTCTGGCCCCTGCTTTCTAGCTCCTGCTGTCTGGCTCCTGCTTTCTGGCTCCTGCTGTCTGGTTCTGCTGTCTGGTTCTGCTGTCTGGCCGGCTCCTGCTGTCTGGCTCGTGTTTTCTGGCTTCTGCTGTCTGCATCCTACCGTCTGGCTCCTGCTGTCTGGCTCTGCTTTATGGTTCCTACGTTCTGGATCCTACTTTCTGGCTCCTGCTTTCTGGCTCCTGCTTTCTGGCTCCTGCTTTCTGCCTCCTACTTTCTGGCTTCTGCTGTGTGGCTATTCTGTCTGGCTGCTCCTTCCTGTCCCCTGCTGTCTGTCTGCTGCTGTCTGGCTCCTGCTTTCTGGCTCCTGCTGTCTGGCTCCTGCTGTCTTGCTCCTGTTCTCTGGCTCCAGCTTTCATGCTTCTGCTCTTTGGCTCCTGAATTCTGACCCTGCTTTCTAGCTCCTGCTGTCTGGCCCCTGCTTTCTAGCACCTGCTGTCTGGCTCCTGCTTTCTGGCTCCTGCTTTCTGGCTCCTCCTGTGTGGCTCATGCTGTCTGTCTCCTGCTGTCTGGTCCCTGTCTTCTGGCTCCTGCTTTCTGGCTCCTGCTGTCTGGCTCCTGCTTTCTGGCTCCTGCTGTCTGGCTCCTGCTCTCTGGCTCATGCTGTATGGCTTCTGATGTCTGCCTCCTTTTTTTCTGGCTTCTGCTGTCTGGCTCCTGTTTTGTCGTTCCTGCTGTCTGGCTTCTGCTGTCTAGCTCCTGCTGTATGGCTCCTGATGTCTGGCTCCTGTTTTCTGGCTCCTGTTGTCTGGCTCCTGCTGTATGGCTCCTGCTGTGTGGCTATTCTGTCTGGCTGCTCCTACCTGTCCCCTGCTGTCTGTCTCCTGCTGTCTGGCTCCTGCTTTCTGGCTCCTGCTTTCATGCTCCTGCTGTCTGGCTCGTGTTTTCTGGCTCCCGCTGTCTGTCTCCTGCTCTCTGGCTCCTGAATTCTGGCCCCTGCTTTCTAGCTCCTGCTGTCTGGCCCCTGCTTTCTAGCTCCTGCTGTCTGGCTCCTGCTGTCTGGTTCTGCTGTCTGGTTCTGCTGTCTGGCTGGCTCCTGCTGTCTGGCTCGTGTTTTCTGGCTCCTTCTGTCTGGCTCCTACTTTGTGGCTCGTGTTTTCTGGCTTCTCCTGTCTGCATCCTACCGTCTGGCTCCTGCTGTTTGGCTCCTGCTATCTGACCCTGCTTTCTTGCTCCTTCTATCTGGCTGTGCTTTCTGGTTCCTACTTTCTGGCTCCTACTTTCTGGCTCCTGCTGTGATGCTCCTGCGTTCTGGCTCCTGCTTTCTGGCTCCTGCTGTGTGGCTATTCTGTCTGGCTGCACCTCTCTGTCTCCTGCTGTCTGGCTCCTGCTGTCTGGTCCCTGCCTTCTGGCTCCTGCTTTCTGGCTCCTGCTGTCTGGCTTCTGCCTTCTGGCTCCTGCTTTCTGGCTCCTGCTGTCTGGGTACCGCTGTCTGTCTCCTGCTATCTGGCTCCTGAATTCTGGCCCCTGCTTTCTAGCTCCTGCTGTCTGGCCCCTGCTTTCTAGCTCCTGCTGTCTCGCTCCTGCTTTCTGGCTCCTGCTGTCTGGTTCTGCTGCCTGGCTGGCTCCTGCTGTCTGGCTCGTGTTTTCTGGCTTCTTCTGTCTGGCTCCTGCTTTGTGGCTCGTGTTTTCTGGCTTCTGCTGTCTGCATCCTACCGTCTCTCTCCTGATGTCTGGCTCCTGCAGTCTGGCTCCTGTTTGGCTCCTCCTTTCTGGCTCCTGCTGTCTGGCTCCTGCTATCTGACCCTGCTTTCTTGCCCCTTCTGTCTGGCTGTGCTTTCTGGTTCCTACTTTCTGGCTCCTACTTTCTGGCTCCTGCTGTGAGGCTCCTGCTTTCTGGCCCCTGCTGTCTGGCTCCTGCTTTCTGACTCGAGCTGTATGGCTCCTGCTGTCTGGTTCTGCTGTGTGGCTGGCTTCTGCTGTCTCGCTCGTGTTTTCTGGCTCCTGCTCTATGGCTCATGCTTTCTGGCCCCTGCTTTCTAGCTCCTGCTGTCTGGCTCCTGTTTTCTTGATCCTGCTAGCTTGCTCTTGTCTAGCTCCCGCTGTTTGGCTCCTGCTTTCTGGCTCCTGTTGTCTGGTTCCTGCTGTCTGGCCCATTCTGTGTTGCTGGCTCCTGCTGTCTGGCTCCTGTTTTCTGGCTCCTTCTGTCTGGTTCTGCTGTCTGGCTCCTGCTGTGTGGCTCCTGCTGTCTGGCTCCTGCTGTATTGGCACCTGTTTTGTCGTTCCTGCTGTCTGGCTTCTGCTGTCTAGCTCCTGCTGTATGGCTCCTGATGTCTGGCTCCTGCTTTCTGGCTCCTGTTGTCTGGCTCCTGCTTTCTGGCTCCTGCTGTCTGGCTTCTGCCTTCTGGCTCCTGCTTTCTGGCTCCTGCTGTCTGGGTACCGCTGTCTGTCTCCTGCTATCTGGCTCCTGAATTCTGGCCCCTGCTTTCTAGCTCCTGCTGTCTGGCCCCTGCTTTCTAGCTCCTGCTGTCTCGCTCCTGCTTTCTGGCTCCTGCTGTCTGGTTCTGCTGTCTGGCTGGCTCCTGCTGTCTGGCTCGTGTTTTCTGGCTTCTTCTGTCTGGCTCCTGCTTTGTGGCTCGTGTTTTCTGGCTTCTGCTGTCTGCATCCTACCGTCTCTCTCCTGATGTCTGGCTCCTGCAGTCTGGCTCCTGTTTGGCTCCTCCTTTCTGGCTCCTGCTGTCTGGCTCCTGCTATCTGACCCTGCTTTCTTGCCCCTTCTTTCTGGCTGTGCTTTCTGGTTCTTACTTTCTGGCTCCTACTTTCTGGCTCCTGCTGTGAGGCTCCTGCTTTCTGGCCCCTGCTGTCTGGCTCCTGCTTTCTGACTCGAGCTGTATGGCTCCTGCTGTCTGGTTCTGCTGTGTGGCTGGCTTCTGCTGTCTCGCTCGTGTTTTCTAGCTCCTGCTCTATGGCTCATGCTTTCTGGCCCCTGCTTTCTAGCTCCTGCTGTCTGGCTCCTGTTTTCTTGATCCTGCTAGCTTGCTTTTGTCTAGCTCCCGCTGTTTGGCTCCTGCTTTCTGGCTCCTGTTGTCTGGTTCCTGCTGTCTGGCCCATTCTGTGTTGCTGGCTCCTGCTGTCTGGCTCCTGTTTTCTGGCTCCTTCTGTCTGGTTCTGCTGTCTGGCTCCTGCTGTGTGGCTCCTGCTGTCTGGCTCCTGCTGTATTGGCACCTGTTTTGTCGTTCCTGCTGTCTGGCTTCTGCTGTCTAGCTCCTGCTGTATGGCTCCTGATGTCTGGCTCCTGTTTTCTGGCTCCTGTTGTCTGGCTCCTGCTGTCTGGCTCTGTTGTCTTGCTACTACGTTATGACTTCTAATGTCTGGCTCCTGATTTCTGGCCCCTGCTTTCTAGCTCCTGCTGTCTGGCTCCTGATTTCTGGCTCCTGCTGTCTGGTTCTGTTGTCTGGCCTTTGCTGTCTAGCTCCTGCTGTCTGCTTCTGTTGTCTGGCTGGCTCCTGCTGTCTGGCTCCTGTCTAGCTCCCGCTGTCTGGCTCCTGGTTTCTGGCCCCTGTTGTCTGGCTCCTGTTTTCTAGCTCCTGCTGTCTAGCTCCTGTTTTGTAATTCCTGCTGTTTGGCTCCTGCTGTCTGGCACCTGCTGTCTGGCTCTGCTATCTGGCTCCTGTTTGGCTCGTACTTTCTTGCTCCTTCTGTCTGGCTCTGCTTTCTGGCTCCTGCTGTGTGGCTCCTTCTTTCTGGCTCCTGCTGTCTGGCTCCCGCTGTCTGGCTCATGATCTCTGGCTCAAGCTTTCTGGCCTCTGCTTTCTAGCTCCTGCTGTCTGGCTGTCCTTACTGGCACCTGCTTTCTGCCTCCTACTTTCTGACTTCTGCTGTGTGGCTATTCTGTCTGGCTGCTCCTTTCTGGCTCCTTCTCACTGGCTCCTACTTTGTGGCTTGTGTTTTCGGGCTTCTGCTGTCTGCATCCTACCGTCTGGCTCCTGCTGTCTGGCTCCTGCTATCTGACCCTGCTTTCTTGCTCCTGCTGTCTGGCTCTGCTTTCTGGTTCCTACTTTCTGGCTCCTACTTTCTGGCTCCTGCTGTGAGGCTCCTGCTTTCTGGCTTTTGCTGTCTGTCTCCTGCTTTCTGGCTCCTGCTGTCTGGTTCTGCTGTCTGGCTGGCTCCTGTCTAGCTCCCGCTGTCTGGCTCCTGGTTTCTCGCCCCTGTTGTCTGGTTCCTGTTGTCTGGCTCCTGTTTTCTGGCTCCTGCTGTCTGGCTCCTGTTTTATAGTTCCTGCTGTTTGGCTCCTGCTGTCTAGCACCTGCAGTCTGGCTCTGCTATCTGGCTCCTGTTTGGCTCGTACGTTCTGGCTCCTGCTCTCTGGCTCCTGCTATCTGACCCTGCTTTCTTGCTCCTTCTGTCTGGCTCTGCTTTCTGGCTCCTGCTGTGTGGCTCCTACTTTCTGGCTCCTGCTTTCTGGCTCCTGCTTTCTGGCTCCTGCTGTCTGGCTCCTGCTGTGTGGCTATTCTCTCTGGCTGCTCCTCTCTGTCTCCTGCTGTCTGGCTCCTGATGTCTGGCCCCTGCCTTCTTGCTCCTGCTTTCTGGCTCCTGCTGTCTGGCTCCCGCTGTCTGGCTCATGCTCTCTGGCTCATGCTTTCTGGCCTCTGCTTTCTAGCTCCTGCTGTCTGGCTCTGCTTTCTGGCTCCTGCTGTCTGCCTCCTACTTTCTGGCTTCTGCTGTGTGGCTATTCTGTCTGGCTGCTCCTTCCTGTCCCCTGCTGTCTGTCTCCTGTTGTCTGGCTCCTGCTTTCTGGCTCCTGCTGTCTGGCTCCTGCTGTCTGGCTCCTGCTCTCTGGCTCCTGCTTTCATGCTCCTGCTGTCTGGCTCGTGTTTTCTGGCTCCCGCTCTCTGTCTTCTGCTCTCTGGCTCCTGAATTCTGGCCCCTGCTTTCTAGCTCCTGCTGTCTGGCCCCTGCTTTCTAGCTCCTGCTGTGTGGCTCCTGCTTTCTGGCTCCTGCTTTCTGGCTCCTGCTGTCTGGTTCTGTTGTCTGGCCTTTGCTGTCTAGCTCCTGCTGTCTGCTTCTGTTGTCTGGCTGGCTCCTGCTGTCTGGCTCCTGTCTAGCTCCCGCTGTCTGGCTCCTGGTTTCTGGCCCCTGTTGTCTGGTTCCTGTTGTCTGGCTCCTGTTTTCTGGCTCCTGCTGTCTGGCTCCTGTTTTGTAATTCCTGCTGTTTGGCTCCTGCTGTCTGGCACTTGCAGTCTGGCTCTGCTATCTGGCTCCTGTTTGGCTCGTACTTTCTTGCTCCTTCTGTCTGGCTCTGCTTTCTGGCTCCTGCTGTGTGGCTCCTTCTTTCTGGCTCCTGCTGTCTGGCTCCTGCTGTCTGGCTCATGCTCTCTGGCTCAAGCTTTCTGGCCTCTGCTTTCTAGCTCCTGCTGTCTGGCTCTCCTTACTGGCTCCTGCTGTCTGCCTCCTACTTTCTGACTTCTGCTGTGTGGCTATTCTGTCTGGCTGCTCCTTTCTGTCCCCTGCTGTCTGTCTCCTGCTGTCTGGCTCCTGCTTTCTGGCTCCTGCTGTCTGGCTCCTGCTGTCTGGCTCCTGCTTTCATGCTTCTGCTCTCTGGCTCCTGAATTTTGGCCCCTGCTTTCTAGCTCCTGCTGTCTGGCCCCTGCTTTCTAGCTCCTGCTGTCTGGCTCCTGCTTTCTGGCTCCTGCTGTCTGGCTCCTGTTGTCTGGTTCCTGTTGTCTGGCTCCTGTTTTCTGGCTCCTTCTCTCTGGCTCCTACTTTGTGGCTCGTGTTTTCTGGCTTCTGCTGTCTGCATCCTACCGTCTGGCTCCTGCAGTCTGGCTCCTGCTATCTGACCCTGCTTTCTTGCTCCTGCTGTCTGGCTCTGCTTTCTGGTTCCTACTTTCTGGCTCCTACTTTCTGGCTCCTGCTGTAAGGCTCCTCCTTTCTGGCTCCAGCTGTCTGGCTCCTGCTTTCTGGCTCCTGCTGTGTGGCTATTCTGTCTGGCTGCCCCTCTCTGTCTCATGCTGTCTGGCTCCTGCTGTCTGGTCCCTGCCTTCTGGCTCCTGCTGTCTGGCTCCTGCTTTCTGGCTCCTGCTTTCATGCTTCTGCTGTCAGGCTCGTGTTTTCTGGCTCCTGCTCTCTGTCTCCTGCTCTCTGGCTCCTGAATTCTGGCCCCTGCTTTCTAGCTCCTGCTGTCTGGCCCCTGCTTTCTAGCTCCTGCTGTCTGGCTCCTGCTTTCTGGCTCCAGCTGTCTGGTTCTGCTGTCTGGCTTGCTCCTGCTGTCTGGCTCCTGCTTTGTGGCACGTGTTTTCTGGCTTCTGCTGTCTGCATCCTACCGTCTGGCTCCTCCTGTCTGGCTCCTGCAGTCTGGCTCCTGTTTGGCTCCTCCTTTCTGGCTCCTGCTGTCTGGCTCCTGCTATCTGACCCTGCTTTCTTGCTCCTTCTGTCTGGCTGTGCTTTCTGGTTCCTACTTTCTGGCTCCTACTTTCTGGCTCCTGCTGTGAGGCTCCTGCTTTCTGGCTCCTGCTGTCTGGCTCTTGCTTTCTGACTCGAGCTGTATTGCTCCTGCTGTCTGGTTCTGCTGTGTGGCTGGCTTCTGCTGTCTCGCTCGTGTTTTCTGGCTGCTCTATGGCTCATGCTTTCTGGCCCCTGCTTTCTAGCTCCTGCTGTCTGGCTCCTGTTTTCTTGATCCTGCTAGCTGGCTCTTGTCTAGCTCTCGCTGTTTGGCTCCTGCTTTCTGGCTCCTGTTGTCTGGTTCCTGCTGTCTGGCCCATTCTGTGTGGCTGGCTCCTGCTGTCTGGCTCCTGTTTTCTGGCTCCTTTTGTCTGGTTCTGCTGTGTGGCTCCTGCTGTGTGGCTCCTGCTGTGTGGCTGCTGCTGTCTGGCTCCTGTTTTGTCGTTCCTGCTGTCTGGCTTCTGCTGTCTAGCTCCTGCTGTATGGCTCCTGATGTCTGGCTCCTGTTTTCTGGCTCCTGTTGTCTGGCTCCTACTGTCTGGCTCTGTTGTCTGGCTACTACGTTATGACTTCTAATGTCTGGCTCCTGATTTCTGGCCCCTGCTTTCTAGCTCCTGCTGTGTGGCTCCTGCTTTCTGGCTCCTGGTTTCTGGCCCCTGTTGTCTGGTTCCTGTTGTCTGGCTCCTGTTTTCTAGCTCCTGCTGTCTAGCTCCTGTTTTGTAATTCCTGCTGTTTGGCTCCTGCTGTCTGGCACCTGCTGTCTGGCTCTGCTATCTGGCTCCTGTTTGGCTCGTACTTTCTTGCTCCTTCTGTCTGGCTCTGCTTTCTGGCTCCTGCTGTGTGGCTCCTTCTTTCTGGCTCCTGCTGTCTGGCTCCCGCTGTCTGGCTCATGATCTCTGGCTCAAGCTTTCTGGCCTCTGCTTTCTAGCTCCTGCTGTCTGGCTCTCCTTACTGGCACCTGCTGTCTGCCTCCTACTTTCTGACTTCTGCTGTGTGGCTATTCTGTCTGGCTGCTCCTTTCTGGCTCCTTCTCACTGGCTCCTACTTTGTGGCTTGTGTTTTCGGGCTTCTGCTGTCTGCATCCTACCGTCTGGCTCCTGCTGTCTGGCTCCTGCTATCTGACCCTGCTTTCTTGCTCCTGCTGTCTGGCTCTGCTTTCTGGTTCCTACTTTCTGGCTCCTACTTTCTGGCTCCTGCTGTGAGGCTCCTGCTTTCTGGCTTTTGCTGTCTGGCTCCTGCTTTCTGGCTCCTGCTGTCTGGTTCTGCTGTCTGGCTGGCTCCTGTCTAGCTCCCGCTGTCTGGCTCCTGGTTTCTCGCCCCTGTTGTCTGGTTCCTGTTGTCTGGCTCCTGTTTTCTGGCTCCTGCTGTCTGGCTCCTGTTTTATAGTTCCTGCTGTTTGGCTCCTGCTGTCTAGCACCTGCAGTCTGGCTCTGCTATCTGGCTCCTGTTTGGCTCGTACGTTCTGGCTCCTGCTCTCTGGCTCCTGCTATCTGACCCTGCTTTCTTGCTCCTTCTGTCTGGCTCTGCTTTCTGGCTCCTGCTGTGTGGCTCCTACTTTCTGGCTCCTGCTTTCTGGCTCCTGCTGTGTGGCTATTCTCTCTGGCTGCTCCTCTCTGTCTCCTGCTGTCTGGCTCCTGATGTCTGGCCCCTGCCTTCTTGCTCCTGCTTTCTGGCTCCTGCTGTCTGGCTCCCGCTGTCTGGCTCATGCTCTCTGGCTCATGCTTTCTGGCCTCTGCTTTCTAGCTCCTGCTGTCTGGCTCTGCTTTCTGGCTCCTGCTGTCTGCCTCCTACTTTCTGGCTTCTGCTGTGTGGCTATTCTGTCTGGCTGCTCCTTCCTGTCCCCTGCTGTCTGTCTCCTGCTGTCTGGCTCCTGCTTTCTGGCTCCTGCTGTCTGGCTCCTGCTGTCTGGCTCCTGCTCTCTGGCTCCTGCTTTCATGCTCCTGCTGTCTGGCTCGTGTTTTCTGGCTCCCGCTCTCTGTCTTCTGCTCTCTGGCTCCTGAATTCTGGCCCCTGCTTTCTAGCTCCTGCTGTCTGGCCCCTGCTTTCTAGCTCCTGCTGTGTGGCTCCTGCTTTCTGGCTCCTGCTTTCTGGCTCCTGCTGTCTAGTTCTGTTGTCTGGCCTTTGCTGTCTAGCTCCTGCTGTCTGCTTCTGTTGTCTGGCTGGCTCCTGCTGTCTGGCTCCTGTCTAGCTCCCGATGTCTGGCTCCTGGTTTCTGGCCCCTGTTGTCTGGTTCCTGTTGTCTGGCTCCTGTTTTCTGGCTCCTGCTGTCTGGCTCCTGTTTTGTAATTCCTGCTGTTTGGCTTCTGCTGTCTGGCACTTGCAGTCTGGCTCTGCTATCTGGCTCCTGTTTGGCTCGTACTTTCTCGCTCCTTCTGTCTGGCTCTGCTTTCTGGCTCCTGCTGTGTGGCTCCTTCTTTCTGGCTCCTGCTGTCTGGCTCCTGCTGTCTGGCTCATGCTCTCTGGCTCAAGCTTTCTGGCCTCTGCTTTCTAGCTCCTGCTGTCTGGCTCTCCTTACTGGCTCCTGCTGTCTGCCTCCTACTTTCTGACTTCTGCTGTGTGGCTATTCTGTCTGGCTGCTCCTTTCTGTCCCCTGCTGTCTGTCTCCTGCTGTCTGGCTCCTGCTTTCTGGCTCCTGCTGTCTGGCTCCTGCTGTCTGGCTCCTGCTTTCATGCTTCTGCTCTCTGGCTCCTGAATTTTGGCCCCTGCTTTCTAGCTCCTGCTGTCTGGCCCCTGCTTTCTAGCTCCTGCTGTCTGGCTCCTGCTTTCTGGCTCCTGCTGTCTGGCCCCTGTTGTCTGGTTCCTGTTGTCTGGCTCCTGTTTTCTGGCTCCTTCTCTCTGGCTCCTACTTTGTGGCTCGTGTTTTCTGGCTTCTGCTGTCTGCATCCTACCGTCTGGCTCCTGCAGTCTGGCTCCTGCTATCTGACCCTGCTTTCTTGCTCCTGCTGTCTGGCTCTGCTTTCTGGTTCCTACTTTCTGGCTCCTACTTTCTGGCTCCTGCTGTGAGGCTCCTCCTTTCTGGCTCCAGCTGTCTGGCTCCTGCTTTCTGGCTCCTGCTGTGTGGCTATTCTGTCTGGCTGCCCCTCTCTGTCTCATGCTGTCTGGCTCCTGCTGTCTGGTCCCTGCCTTCTGGCTCCTGCTTTCTGGCTCCTGCTGTCTGGCTCCTGCTTTCTGGCTCCTGCTTT